GGCTAGCCTATAGCCCTGGTTTTCCCTGAAGGTCTCCCGTCCAAGGACTAAGCAGACTTGCCCTTGTTTAACTTTTGGCCCCAGACAGGTTCACGCAGAAAGTGGCACTTGCTGGGGCGACCAAGGGCTTCTATTCCTGCTCCCTGTGGCAAATCCTTCTTCGCTATCTTGAATTCCAGTGGATGGTCTTTACTATATTTGGAGGAGATGCACAGAGTATCCCAGCCACCTGGAATCCAGATGTGTCTCCCAAATGAACACATGCAGTTTTCATAGATAAGGAGCTTTGAAAGCAATGCACCTTTGCTTCCATGCTGAGTCAAAATACTAGCAATTGGGGATTTTGAAGATAGGGAAAGGATTGGTGTGAAACTGAGAGGACCGAAGGTAGCAGTAAGTGCTGAGAATAGCCATGCTCAGCTACTGGCCAGAAAAAAACAAGTTCTTGTCAGCTACAAGTTTTTTGCAAAACTGATAAACGACAAAGCTGCAAAAAGTCAGAACCACCCAAATCAGTCTGAACGACACTTTCTAATGGAAGAGTTGGGTGGCAGAAAGTCTGGTAAAGAGGAAATACCCAAAAGCTGAGAACAGGCAGCAAGATGTCCTCTGTAAGGTGGTTCTTTGCAATAAATATATGACCTTTCTTTTCCCCTGCTCACTTTCAGCAACAGTGCTGTGGTGCCAACGATCCCTTGGACTGGGTAAATTATACCTCCGTGTTCCGAAGTAGGTACCCTGAAGTGGTGGCACCTTGGCCATTCTACTGCTGTAAACGTGATCCAAACTTCATCATCATCAATGAGGAGGGCTGCAGATTGGGGCACACTGATTACATCAATACTAAGGTACCAAGCTCTTCAACCTTTTTCCTGATGTTGCCTACCATCCTTGCACATAAACTTGAGGAGGTATTGGTACCATCAGCAGCTCCTCTTCAAGGCAATCTCACCGGTTTGTCCTTCCCTTCTCAGGGCTGCTTTGAACACATTAAGCATGCAGTACAGAGTTATGCCTGGGGCGTCTCCTGGTTTGGTTTTGCCATTCTTATGCTCACAGTAAGTCATAGCAGAAAGGCTTGTTTTGATGGGTCAGGACCGCAGTTCCAAAATTCTGTGGTGGGAACTATGGGAGCTACAGTTTAAGAACCTGGAGATTGCCAGCTTGAGGAAAACTCATGAAGACAGCTGTATAATGTTGCTTGAGAATAGAGAGATGATTGTTCTAAAGTTCTGCTAATCTATGAAGCTTATTGGGTAACCCTGAGTGCACTCCACTTTCTCTACATATCTATCCTCAAAAACATCTTCATTATCCCATTTTCCACAGTGGCCAGCTAAGTGTCCATAGGAAGCTCACCAGCAGGACTGAAGGACACCAGGCCCCTCCTAGTGCTACTCTTCAAAAACTCCAATAGAAGAGAACATATTTAGCTCAGGGTTGACCTGTGGGGTCCTTGGTGCTCTCTGAGCTTGGTTGTTTGCTTGCAGACATTTCATTACCCAGCTAGGGAACATAATCAGTGCATCTGATGATGCACATCTTCAAGAACTGAGATGCAGAGCCTATTTCTGGTTATTAGACAACATCTAGTTGATATGCCTTCAAGCTAGGCTTTTTCAAGCTAGTGTTGGTCAGATGTGTTTGGCCTACAATTCTTCACTGTTCCTAGGAATTCCTACAGTATAATTCCAATTCATCTGGAGGCCACCAAATAAGCAATGCTTTTAGAAGCCTTTCCCATAATAGGTTTGTTCTCCATTTCAAAGCCAACTTAACTCAGGTTGTGGGTTCCTACACTCAGCAGGATTGGATCAGTTGATCTCTAAGGTTCCTTCCAGATCTTATACTGCATGATTCTATGAGGATAAAATGAAGAAGAGGTGGTGGTGGGATGGACCATATAATTCAGCTTGAGATACTCAGGGTGGGAAAAGGGAAGAAGGTCATTACAAAAAATTAAATAGGGACTTGCAGTGAAAGGATTGTTTTGTTGTTTTTCCACAGTGCCCTGTCGTTCTTCTGGCTATATACCATTACACCACAATGTGAGCAATTCCAGCCAATCAAGTGGAATTTTCCCTATGAGCAGGGAGAAGATGAGCAAAGGGATGTAGACCTTTCTTTGGGGAAAAACATCTCCATGAATTTCGTCTCCGAAATTCTCCGAAACGTTCTCCAAGACATGCCTACTCCCTAAGTTTGCTTGTGGGTGTAGATGTTATTGGGCATCTCTAAATCTATACCCTTTCGCACATCTTCTATGGAAAAATCATCTCAACTACTTTAGTAAAACCTTTTTTAAAAAAAAAGTGTACAGTAAATGCTGTTTGGCACGTGTGGGATTTTTTAAATTCTTTGTGAAAAAAGGAACTTAATCTGTGACTGAGCTGAAGCAAGAAAATAACTTTCTCTCTCTTTCAACCTTCCAATATAGAATTCCTAATGTAGTTATTCATCTTGTCACCAATCCTGAAGTAAAATACCATTGATAATCTAGTTGACTGTCCTACATAGACTGGTGAAAAGGCAGAAAAATGACTCTGCCTTGATCTGATCCATGTTTTCCTGTCCTCTCACCCATCCCCTGAACAAAAGTAGATCATTTCTTTAAATCAGTACGGTACAGCAATTAGAATATTGGATTAGGACAAGAGAGAGACAGGTGCTACAGACTTGAAACAATCACCATTTTTCAGCCTAGGACTATGGGTTTTAGGACTATGTTTAGTCCTAAACCCATTTAGGGTTTAGGACTATGGATCCAAAGGGCAAAAAAGGTGCTTCAGAATGTGCACCTAATCCCTGTCAGCGCATCCTTTCATCAAATGCTGTGTAATCCTAGGAGATGTAGCTGCCTCAAGACGTTGCACTGAAGCTCTAGCTGTGTGCTCCAAAGCATTTTTTCCCCTTCGAATCCAAAGCCTGCAGCCCTGCTAACCTGCCTCCAAGAGCTGAAAAACCCCATCTATCGTTTTGAGTTTGCTGGAGAAAAAGTGGGATCTAAACTTTATCAGTGGAAAGGTAAACATACTTGTTCTCCTTGTACAGAAACATACATAGTGGTTTCATCCTGACAGTTCTGAAGAAGGGGTTCTGTTGGCTTAATCCCCCAAACCACTAGAAGGCTTCTTCACCTCAGTTTCCCATCATTATCTGATCCCCAAACAGGTGTCTCAGTTGCAACTATGGTACAACAGTGATGGTTACAGTGTGTAGCTTGATCAACTGCTGAGCAGGTTTTTCCAGCCTGGGAACATTGCTAGCTTTCTTGCCATACCGAGGGAGTTCTCCCACATAGTCTGAGAGCCTAGTGACCTCCTTGAGGTAAGCCAGAACCTCCTGCTGCTGCATTTGGTTCTTCAATGTAAACCTGAAAGGGGGCAGGGAACCAGTGAAGTTCCATCTTCTTCCCTAGCAAAACATGATAGGTAATCAGGGTGTGCAAATATCTGATCTGGAGAATGGATTCAGAGACCAATCAAAAATATCTAAATACAACTCAACAAATGGATTTGACCCACCCAGACAAAGAGATGTCTCCAAGTGAATTTGGATGAGTTACAGTATGTGCTTGCATTGTGAATCCAAATCAATTCAATCTGATAATTCAATTTGGATTTCTGAAAATATGATTGCAGTGAAAAAAAGCAAAATCCTATAATCTCTCTCTCTCTCTCTCTCTATATATATATATATATATATA